TCATGGCACATGAAAATAAATAAACTAGTTTCTCCTAATCCAGGTAAGTTGAAACAGTTTAGAAATATTATATTAATAAAATTATGATGATTCTTAAAATTATGCTTCAAATTTATTTAACTTCATTAAGTTAATACAAAAAGTTTAAAATGAAACAGAGTCAACAGTTGAACAGCTTATACAAGGACGGACTTCAAAAAGAGCAAAAAAGAACGTCGATGTACAAAATGCTCGCCTTAAATGTATTCAACAAAGAATTTACGATGACGATAACTTAGACAAGTTAGAATTTTTAAAAGGCATTGCACATAATTTAGCTTTATAAATATTTATTTTTATTTTTATATTTACATTTGTTTTATAAGTTTATAATTATAAAGGGTACCTTTAATAATAATATAATTTACCTAATAATATATAATATTTTATTTTCAATAGTACCTATATGAGTTTGTACTTTGTTTTATTAAATTTTATTAAATACATAGGTATTACGGTAAATTTTAGGTTAGGTCTGAAATTGAAACATAACTATTCGAGCAAATTACCTTTCAAACACATGACTTATCGAACATATGGCTTTTCTATGATTCAAGTTTTCGATGACATGAACTTTCGAACACATAACTTTCGAACATATGATTTTTGGACAGTTGACTCTCACCCGTTACGAATTTATCCAAATTTGACTGTAAAATGAATGAATTACGATAGCTGAAGAAGTAATTGTGATAATATTTTTACATAATCGGAAAATAGAAGTATATTGACCGAGGTTATCAAAAGTAAATGGTAAGTTATTGATGTAAATTATGAATAATAGGAGATCTAAATGGAATTCTTGTTGTATACCAAAACTTACTTAGAAATAGTTTAAAATATAATTTCATATACTTTTATATAAAAGATACTTTTACCGTTTGTGCAAGACAATTAAAATAAGACCATAACCAATTAAAATTTTTTCCATGAATGTCAAAAGTAGATATTATATTAAGAATTAAATTATGTTGAACCTTGTCAGAAGTTTTCTGAATGTCGATATAGAATGAATCTAACTGTAAAGGTCGTTTAGAGCTTAAAGTATTTTGGACTGATAAAGTAAAACATAAATGGTAATGACATGTTAGGTCTGAAGCCATGTTGGTTTTTACTTTTGTTGACTAAAATATCAAAAAGAAGCGAAAAAAAATAGCAAAACTAAAATAGTGAAAAAATATTATTATAATAAAAGAATATTCACAGAATCATATTACATTTTTAGGGTTAAGTTATAAACGATATCTTTTAAATAATTAATATTGTCGTTAGTATTATAAGATAAGGTTAGGGTTACGTATTTTTTCTAATTCTAGAATTCCGTCTATAATTAATAACATATATATAATCTTTGTATTATGAATTGAAATAATAAATTATGTTTTCCAAATATGTGGGAAATAATCTAAAATCAAAGATTTATTGAAAATAAAATGAAGTAGCTTCAACAGTAGGTACACAATTTTAAAAATACTGATGGTACAATCAGGTTATATACCTGCACATAAATCTAAAGAATTTAAATAATCAAAAATATCATTAGAATCAATAAAACAAGAGCTCAAGTTAATATGATTATTATTAGTAAAAAGAGAGAGTAACGAAATAGTATTTTTAGTGTTCAAAGAATTATCGACATAGATACTGAAAAAATAATCAGCGAACATTTTGGCCGTTATATCGTACTCAATAGCCGTTTTTAAATCTTTTCGATTGCATAGATATTTTTATACGCTTTGTTATAAGTTAAATATCAAACGTAATATAGTTTCAAGTTTGGGATCAGGAAGTAAACGTATTATATATTTATTATTTATTAATTTCTTTATTTATAAATTGCCTAAATTTCAGTGACAATAAATTTATTGCTTGTGGGTGTAATTCTTTGCCTTTAAATTTAACAATGACAATATACATTGTTTATTTTAAGAGTGCGCCAACTATACCTTATTTAGACTAAAGTTTTGTTTTAAGCATATAAATTAGAAAAAAATATAATGTTTTAACTTATAATGAATCGTTGTATCCAATTTGATCATACACAGAGTTTCCTTTAACCAAAAAAAACTTAAGTTTATTAGCTTTCAGAAAACTTCGTGCTATTCATGACTCGTTACCTTTTCACTCAAAGGGACTTGGTTTGAGAAAATCGTGTGAAAATTTATTAACTTCGTTATTAAAAATAAATATTAAGCATATATATTATGCAAGACGTTTGCAGTTATTATATTAAGTTTCATTTAATTTAAAATACTTTTACGATTATATTTTTAAAAATTATTTAGCTTTTTAATCATTCTTTTAAAAATATAAATATATATAAATATCGATAATTTATCACATAGTTAAATAGTAAGAGGATGATCGGATAATTTGTATTGATTTACTTTTTTCTTTTATAATTTTAAGTTATATTTATATTTAATATGGTATATTATAATGAATTACCTATTGGTTGTTTGCATATTTACATTTGAAAAAAAAATATATATAATATTAAAGTTCAGTAGGTACTTTCATAGATTATAAAAGGTATTAAAAATAAAAATAAAATAAATAAACATTGACTAAGATGAGTGTTGCACGTTAAAGTTTATCCGAGTAAACTATATTTATTAAATATAAGATATAATATAGAAAGCTGCGGATTTTATCTATAAAAATAAATAAAAACCATGAAATTTAAATTCGACTTCGTTTCAGAAAGAATTGTTTTATAGTCTTTGATAATAAGATAATAAAATTTAAAAATGGTTTATTATTAAATAATTTATATTTTTGTAAACGAAAATTACCTGGTACTTTGACTTTATGACTTCATATATTATATTGAAATGAAGAGACTTTTGTAAAAGCCAAAATCAACACACTGTTCACGTCATAAAGATACTGATTATATACCTACTTGAATTACTGTATCTACGTATAACTAACATACAAAGGAGATAGTATGTTATTATTTATTTTTATTATATTTTATAAGTATTACTAAAATGAAACTGTTATTCAATTTTATACGATACATATTTGTTAATTCGTTTTTTTTTTCACGAAAGTCGATTGACTATGTAGCAATTCATTATAATCTATAATATACATGAATCTACATTCCATCACTACATCTATAACTTAAGTTAAACATAAAATGAAAAATAATTGTAAGTTTCTCGTTATATTTAATTTTATAATGATAGTTAAATTATTATCACTTAAGCTTGCTCAAATTTAAAACATATTTAAATTGAAATAATTTATAAATGTTTTTTAACTGTAGATTGTAATGGAGATTTTCTGAAGTAAATAAATTGTTATTGTATTACATTTACTATTACGTATTTTTAAGTATAATTTTCAACATATTTTATTTATTATATAAAAACATTATTGATTAAAAGTTATTCTTAAATTTATATAATTATAATTATTATAAACACAAAAAAGATATAGGAATACATTTTTTATATGAATTCAAAGTTAGAATTTTGACAAAATTCGTTAAAAATCGCAAGAAATGCAAACTTTTTAGTAATTAGAAATTCATAAAAATTTTTCGTTTTTATATAGGTTTTGAAAATTTAATAAAATATTCTTCATAATTAATTTATGTTATCAGCTTAACATCTGATAAACCACTTACAAAAAAAAAAAATAATAATAAATTTATTTTGAAACCATATGATTTAAAATAATATATAAATAGCAATTATTTTTATAAATATTTAAGTTCAAATTTGAATAAAATTTTCTGTATACAAAAAAAAAAAAAAAAAAACAACAGCATACTCGTATTATAACAAAATATACTTAGTAATATAGATTGGCAGATTGTAGTTTAGAATCGTTCAGAATCGTTTTTTTTTTATATTTTAATGATGTTTAATTTGAATTCAAAATTAGCATATCCGTAATAATAATGTATACTCGATATATTATAATGTACAATAGAACAATACCTACTCACCTACTTTTTTTCATTAATAGCCCTCAATGATAATTTAGATTCTGAGTTAAATGAGTTATAAAATAGTTTTTAAATTATGATTTAGCGCATTGTAAGAAGTTCACATATTTGCATTAAATATAAAAACCTAGTCTGAACGTAGAGGCAATATCTTTAGGTTTAAGAGAAAACTTCTTAAAATCAGATATTTAATTAATTAAAAAAGTTAGATTATCTAAATAAATTCATTTATTTTTTATAAATATTAGTTATATTAAGTGAATTACACATCTAGGTGTTTTACAGATTGCAAATTTTTTTTAACTTACGTTATTGATTACATTTAAAAAAAATAAATATATTATTACTAAGCAAGAAATTTAAAACGTTTTTCTCAAAAAACTCATGATTAAATTAAATATATTTTTGTATAATTTTCTAACTTTTTTAATTTACATTTTATATTATAGTACACCGTGTAATCCTTGACGGCATAACTTTTCATTATTTTGATTTAAAGCCAACATTAAATGTTAAACCATTTATATGGTATATTTAGTGTTGGATACTTGAAGTGTTAATCGACTCTAATACTTGTAGTTTTATGGCTATATTTAAGAGTATAATATAAATATGTATATATTTTAAAAATAGGTTGAATTTAAATAAATTATTTAGTTTAAAACTGATACTTATAAAATAAGCTCACACAATTTGTATGTAATATTCTGAAATAGTTCATCCAATGCGATCCCTAAATTATAAAATTTTATGATTTTAAGTTATCATTTTTAAATTTTAGTTAAATCTTTTCTATTGCAATACTTTTTAAACTTTAATAATACGTATTTCTAGAATTCTCAAAACATAGTTTTCATCTTTTTATTGTTTTAAGTAAGTGTTTTTTAATTTATCAGAAAGACTATAGATTGGTTCAACAGTTTTCTTCCGTCCGGGACACTATTAGTAATATATACAGCGCACACTGTAAACATATTTTGCTTTCCGGGCTTACTATTACCGTTGCGCACTATCCGATAGTGGGCGTCTGGGGATCCGCTATAGCTGTACCTGCTGGTGACAACTTCCCGTCGAATCAAGCTGCCGGTTCTCACATTGATGCATGGTATGAAAGAAAAGAACTGTTTGAATCCTTGACGAAATCTGAAACAAAAACAACATGATATTTACATAAAATACAATACTTGATATTCGAATAATCGATACGTTGATAGAAAAAACGTGATGATATTACAATAATATTGTGATAATCATTATAAGATGAGTAGAATTTTGACTTCGATAATATTGTAGGTTTAAAGCACAATTAATATTTACTAGCTTCTCTTTACAGATCGTAAAAAACATATTAAATAACTACATCAGATCCCTTTGTATAAATTCAGGACTTTAATTCCTATGTGATAGTAGTTTTATGATCTCAAAAGTAACCTCTATAGGTACATTATACTACGGATATAATGTTATATAGTATGCTATAGGCTTTATTTTAGATTATGAGGGAATTTGATACCGAAAAACTTTTTATAATACGAACTTAAACGTTTTGAACGTTTCTTAGATTGAAATTCAAAAGCGATAGGAATAATATATTAGTAAACCTAGGTATATTACATTATGCTACTATTCCGCTGTGATAACTGATTATATGTGGCAAAAATGTTAAAAAAATCAACCATGATTTTCGTTATTGACGTTAGTTAACAGACAGCCAAATGTATTCGTTATCAAACGTTTTCAACGTTGACTAGTATTGAATTTCATTTATTTTAATGTAACATTCTATCATACATGTGATATACTATTTTGTAATCACGTAGAAATAAAAAAAAAAAAAAAATGTGTTGTTAAGATATACAGTTTATTTTCGAACTCGTGTGTAAATCACATGTCCTTAACACAATATAATAAGTTAATGATTTTCGCTTTTTATCAATTTTGAATATCTACTTATAGATTTTACTTATCTATGTTTATTATGCCCATGCAAAGTTGCAAAACTATTATGGCGTATACAAAATAAATTTTATTAAAAATATTCAATTTAATTGTATTTATTTTACTTATAATTATTTATATATTAAATTTATTTATGTGATCAATTGAATTCTAAATTCTATGTATTCAAAATAATTATGAACTTTTTGATTTTTATTAGAAAGTACTTAGGTATAAAAAAAAAAATAATAATAATAATTTATTTACTGGTATATATATAATCCAAATATTAATCACTATAGAAGATTGTTAAAAGCATAGCACGTTTTATTTAGTATTAAAAATAAGTAAAAATGCAGTATAAAGAGTTGAAACGGCTAATGAGTATATTAATATTTAAAAGGTACTTAATGACTTCATAATTTTGTGTAATGTTATATTACGATAAATCAAAAAAGGCTACAAAAAGTTAAAAAAATGTTTTTGTTTACATTTTAGGCGTGATCTATTGCTTTAAAGAGTTTGTTCTTTAATAATATAAACAATAATATTTAAAATAAACAGTTTTGGAAAAAAAGTACATTTATATTTAAAAGTGAATATTTATTAAATATGTATGATGTAAATATTTTTTATAAATCGTTAATAAAAAAAGACAAATATGATACAGAATATGCTTACCTCCATTTTGTTATAGTAATGAGAATATTTAAGTATAATAAGATAATTAAAAGTTGAATTAGGTTTTAGATTTTACGCTTGAATATTCGAAAAGTAGATTATGGTTCCTGTTAAATAATATTAGGTCAAAATCCTTGTTTTTCGTTTGAATATTTTATTGAATTTTAATTCAAAAGTGAAGAAAAAAAAAATTTAAGCAATACTTATTAAAGAATCGTTTCAAACCTAACTAATCACATACATAAAATATTTAATGCCGAATAAATCATGTGTAATGTTTGCATCAATGTAAACTTGATGTTTGTGGGGTAACGATACACGAATGTATTCATACAATATAGGTTTATATTATTATTATATATATAAATAGAATATAAGAATGTTATTTTTGAATATTTTATACTAAAATAATATTTATGCTTTTAAAAATCAAACGTTTTGGTACACGGCTATTAATAATACTACCTTACAAATAAAAACATAATATAATACAATTTTTCATCAGCATTATTCGTCACATAAGTTTGTTACGTAGTAGGTTAGTTAGCTGTAAAAATGTTGATAATTAGGGAAGATAAAATATCATCTTGTGAAACGCCAGCATTAATTTTTGAGATTTTCGAAGTAGAGAAACTATATTAAACTTGGAACTGGAAGTAACGGTCATTCAGGAACGATTTGATTACGAGAAAAAAGAGATGGGGGAAGAAATTGCTTAAATCCTTCAATCCTTCAATCCTTTATGCATAATTTGGTTGAAGGCTTGTAAGACATAAAAAAGGTACAGTTGCAGTAAAGTTTTTTTTTGAATGACATTGACATAGCGTTAAGTGTCAACAATTCTAGAAGTTTGGTTTTTCGTACTATAAGAGGTCCGAAAGCTGAATTGAGTATTTAAGAAAATGTTATTAGTAACGATGTGAGGTATGATTCGTTTAAGTATCAGTTTTCATAGTATTTTAAATAAGAAAGGTAGGATCCTTATTGTTCTGTATGAGGATAAGGTGTTCAATGGCTTGTCGATCATTACAAAAAGTATTATTTTTGAACATTTCCAAAGAGTTGGGAAATATGAAAGTCTATGAATTGTATAAAAAATGTATGTTATAAGTACTATAGTTTTTTAAAGATATGTATATATGAGTATTTTATATTTTTTATATTGGTGAAGTTGTATAGTAGATTGTTACAAAGGTTAGTGATTCAGCAACCCCAGTTTTTTTGTATTTTGTTTTAGGTTTGGATGAACGAAGATTATGGGATAATCACTTTCACGGATTTAACTTATTTTAATTTATATGTGTGATATATAGCATTCTGGTCCTTTAAAAATATATCAGAGTTCTGTAGGCCTCAGGAATGGTAGTTTGTATTTTTAAGCGGTCAGTTGAAGACTCACAGAAAAAGTTATCAACCCCAATTAGCTCTATTAAAGCTGTGCACAAGTCTGAAAAGTTATCTTTTATAAAGAGTAATGCTTCTGAAAAAGGGACGTCTATAGGTATATATCGGATAATTCGGATTGCGTTAATACTTCTTAACGATTTTTAGTTACAAATAATTTTTTATTTTAATTTTATTCTTAGCATGATTTGGAGAATTAGGATTGGAGAAATCTTGCAGATTTTTTTTATTAATAACGTGTTATTATTTGTATTTGATTTATTTTGGTGAGTTGCTTGTGTGATTTTTATTAGAATTATTTTGACCTTTTCCAGTTAGTAAGGTATTTTGTAGCCATAATATATTTATCTTGAGGGCAAAGTTCGTGTGATGTTGCTCGGCAGTAATACGCGAAGACTATTAGATAGTCGACATTTAATTGCTTAAAACGTACAATATTTTATATTTAATTAATATTTATATTTTTAAATGCGTGCTTGGATGCATTTATAGATTACAATAATGTAAACACGTTAATTGTTGATAGTGATTTGATTTTGATTTTTACGTTATAAATTGTCACATCCAGACTGGGAATTACACGGTGTCATAACAAATAAGCCAAGTATAATATTACACATGGATCGAACAAAGTGTGATTTGAGATTGATTTAGAAAATATAAAACATTATGTTTATTTGATATAATACTAATTGTTATTTTATTTGCGTTTTCAAAAAACATTACTCTAAAAAAATTGAGGTTAAATTTTGTTCAATTTAGAAGCTGATTGGTGAAAATATGTACCTACATTAAAAGTGTTCTATTTGTAGTTTAAATTTTGAACTTTTATCAAAGATTATGGTAATTATTATAATAACTTGTATCATTCACATTATTGTATTGTTTATAGACAAATATATGGCCTAATTTTATTGTATTTCTATTTTCATCACATTTAATCATAACTGCAAAATAGTTATGATTTTAGCCTAAAGGTTCAATGGCTGCAACGCAATTCCAAAAATTTGTGGAATCTTGTAGATTTTAATAACCACTGATATACATACATGATTCCACAAATTCCATATATATATTACAAATCGTTTTGTGCTTTAAACCTTATAAATATTCAAACAATATATTCCATATCATCTATTAAAATTATTGATACTAATATCTCGTATCTCCGTGTTATGATACATTATACATCAATTGTTAAAATTTGTGATAATAATATATCGTACTTATTATCTTAACTTTGTCTGCAATATTAAATTGATAGCTTTTTAACCATAGATTATTTTGATATAATACGAAAAAAAATGAGTTATTAAAATTTTAAAACACATTTCATAAAAGCGAAGTAATTAACCGAAGTATTAATTATAATATAAAATACGATAATCCAATGATTCAACAATGTAAAAAATGTAAACTAAAATAGTATTTTCTAAAATTTTTGTTTTTAAAAACGCAGAATCATTTAAAGCATAAAACAATTTGCAATTAGTTATTATGTTAAAGTAATATTATACATTTTGTTTTAACACATAATATTTATTTTTATTGAGTATGTTAAATTAAAGAAAATTCGATGTCAAAACTTTTAATTAAATTATATTTTTTTTAGAAAAAAGTATTTTTTTTATCTCGGTTAAGTAATTTGTTGGGCGATGTATTAATGAATAAATCATTGTAAACAAATATTGACAACAGTGGTGAAAATTAAATTTTAGAATTTTAGTAATTAATTTGTCGTTATACAAAGTTTTTACTTCATGGTTGAATACATTTGATAAATTTATATTAAACTAAAATATAAAAATCAATAGAAGTCCGAAGAAATTGAATATGTATTAAGTAAAACAGTTAAGCATACTATAAAAATTAAAATATTTCGATAGTGGTCAAAGGTCCAACTCTAAATTTCTGTTTTTAACCTTTTTAATTATATTTAAAACTAATTAAGCTATTGTGTCTTATAAATAAAAAAATAATAATATGAATGTAATTGAATTATGGAATTTTTAAATAAAAAAATATTTTTCTCCAATAAAAAAAAAATCTGTGGCTTTACTTGATCTAAGCTAGTATCTGATATTCACATTTTTATTTTATTGTCGTTGGTAAAAGTTCAA